CGTCCACATAAAAAACTGTTTACTCAAACTCAAAATATCGTAACCATAAAAAAAAATGATTGAAATCGTCTTTAATGTAGACTCTAAAGTCATAGATCAACACACAATAGCAACAATATCTGTTTCGTCAAATATTTAGCAAAATAAATATAATAAAATGATACCTATCGAAAATCTATTTTATACCTGAGCCGATCTACAACCGCCTGTTTCCTAGGGCTGCCAGCCTTATGAGCAGATAAGGAAAAATTAGATTGATGGACACAATATCATCATTAAATATACCAATTTAAATAGTAAAATATACTCTTTAAAATTATAAGTAACTAGCTGTTCCTTGCCACGCCTCGCTTTGGCACATTGTGATTAAATTGATGAGAAATTAAGAACAAAACCGACGTGAAAAATAGATAAAACGAATCTTTGAAGCTGACTTTGAACTTTCTGAGGTTTTGAAGTGTACACAAACCAATTTAATATTTTTATATATAAGTAATTTAGATTTGTTTGTGTGAGAGATAAAAATGATAATCCTACATAAATTATCTGCGTAATGTGTACCCACACTGCTGAAGACTCGTGTGAATAACCGCATTAATAAAATGACATTTAACAAAGTAAAAATTCCATTGAATTCTTTTTGGTCGTGTTTCAAAATCCTTGTCATAACTACTTTGTTTACACATCAGTACGTTGATCGGACAAATGAGATTTTTGAAGCGCCTGGCATTCAAAGATTTAAAACAAAACACAACATTTTTCAATAAATATTTTTCTTAAATAGCGTTTAGCGATGTTTTATTATGAACACTTAAATGGCCTCGAATGAGTAATACCGTATTATAATAATAGTTGTGACAGCAATTTGCGGAACTCAAGTGATTATTTTTTTCTTCACAACTCTCATATTAGCCATAGAAAATTGATGATTCAAATTACTCGGCTCAGCTAGTGGTTAAAATCTTGCAAACGTATACAACTCGACCAATTCGGCTAATTTTTATTTCGTGTTTTCTTTAAAGCACAAATATGATAGAGAGAAAACAAATTAAAAATTGCTAGGAAAATAGTAAAACACAACACTTTTATTTATCTACAAAAACCACAGACTAATTAAACCACCTGTCCCTAGCTGTCAAACATCAATCAAAACAAAGTAAAGGCGCGTTAGGATTATATTTAAAGCTTTCAAATGGAGTAGGCTGTATGGTTATAAGTATATGACGGCGCGAAATAAAGTTCAAAGAAAAGTAATCACTCTGAAATACGTTATATTTTTTTTTTTTTCTAATAGACTGCGACAGGTCAATAATTTTTGACAATACGAAGTCTGTCGGAACAGCTAGTAATTTAACTTTTTATAAACCAAAATTAACTTTAGTTAGTTCAGTGTTCTAAAGTCCCCAGTTTGTGATTATTTATGGACGGGAATGTTGATTTAGTGGTTAGGTAGTAGGTTAGTTCACTGTTAAGCAGGAAGTAAAGTCGTTACCATAAACATACTTATATATTGCTGAATACATTTTTTGTATGGTATAAGGGTGCAAACGAGCAGACGGGTCACCTGATGGTAAGCAACTACCGCCGTCCATGGACACATGCAATTCAAAAGTCACAAGTGCGTTGCCGCCCTTGGAGTTCCTCTCGCGCGGGAGGGGGGATTTGGGCTCCAGTAACCTCACTCACCCAGTGACTTGCAACGAAAGAATTGCTTAACACCGGTTTTTTGTGAGGCCGTGGTATCACTCCGGTCGAGCCGGCCCATTCGTGCCGAAGCATGGCTCTCCCACGGTTAATACAAACATATTTTAGATAAATTACACCCATACACAAAACAAATGATCGTGCACATCACATTACGGGCCTGTTGGTCTAGTGGTTAGTGACCCTGACTGCTAAGCCGTAGGTCGTGGGTTCGATTCCCACCCAGGACAAATATTGTGTGATGAGCACGGTCATTTGTTCTGTGTCTGGATGTAATTTATCTATAATATGAATGTATTTAAAAATATATAAGTATGTTTATCAGCGGTCTGATTACCATAGTACAGGCTCTGCCTAGTTTGGGATCAGACGGCCGTGTGTGAGATATATTATTATTATTATTCGTCCTGGGTGGTAATCGAACCCAGTGTTGGACGAATCCATGTTTTCACCCTCCAGGACCTTTTCTAGATGATGATATCTCTGGTATCTGGCCGTGTTCCGTGCATACAATAATTCTTGATAATAGGATGATATATAAAATACTAACAAATAAAGAAACATGTGACGCCTTTAATTAATTTTATTATCATATTTATACTCTCGTTATCGTTTTGTAAATGTCAAACGATCACGTGAACAATTGATTAAAAAATATACATTTGTATTTAATGTAAACAATAAAATATTTAGTTTGTGTTTTAAAAATTGGTTGCCTGTAAAGTCGGTATACGGGCGAAAGTTTTACGTGACAACGACTTTGAGTGGTAAAATAATTTTAATGTGAATATTCATTCGTATAGTAGGAAGAAGGATGAAACGGGACGCGTGCCTTTCACTTTTTATGTCTGTCTCTCTCGCTCTTAGGCGGGCTAACCATGCCCGAGTGGAAGGGACGCGTGCCTCTCACTCGCTCTCATTGTGAGCGCATAACGTGAGCGGAGCGTAACGCAGTTTCTTAAAGTGTCACCAGGCAAACCAATTTATAAGACGTTGTCACGTCAAAAACTTCGCAAATACTGTGTTACTGAAATTGTTTTGCATTTTTTTCCTTTTCCATTTGTGCATACGCATGGAAGTCGGAAGATCGGGAGAATTGGAATTTTGTTGCTTATACGAATGGATAGTGGAGAGTAAGTCCACCAGGGCCTCACAGAAAACCGATATTAAACAGTTCCCTCGTTGCTTTTCACCGAGTGAGTGAGGTTATCCAAACCCTCCTTCTCCCTCTGCTTCTAGGGGAAAAGGCTGAAAGGGCGGCAGCGCATTTAGGACTCTTAAGTTGCAAGTGTCCATATGTGGGGGTAGCCGCTTACCATCAGGTGACCCTTCTGCTCTTGCCCCCCTGTACCATAAAAAAAGAGTAAGCCAGGGTCGGGTCGCTTACCTGTACCGTGAGTAACTCGAATTGTCTGTTAATCTCCGTTCTGAGCACCTCTAATCTACTTACAGTCTACCTAATACGTTGTAAAATCAAACTAAGCATGTAACATAGTTAAAAACCAAGGCAGACGAAACGACTGCCCACGTAATCCTGGAGGGAGTGGCCACACAACGGGCTTTTGTCGTACCTGATAGAAAAACACTCCATCTAGGAGTGTTTTTCTATCAGGTACGAACGGTATCCTGCGAACGCCCCAATAGACTTTTGTGCTTGTGGATGAAGCTGAGTTGGCTCACCTAGCCACATACATAAAGCCACATACCAGCATACATAAAGATTACCAAAAACACATATACACCAAAAAATACTTGTAGGAAAATACGTACCTACGTACGTACCTTTTTTCTAAATATCCTTCTTACGTGACACAACTCCGTCCCCAGTTTTATGCTTGTTTGTTTTCCATCTTCTTTTGTTTTAAAAAAATAAGATATTGTTTTGCTTTTTTTTTTTTGCTTTTTAAAAAGATAACTCCCGCACTAGGAATAAATCCTGTGTCGCGGGGGACTTTACAAACATACATGAAACGGACACAAAGTACACCCAGACTCAGAACAACAATTTGTGGATCACACAAAGTGTTGTCCCATGTGGGGTTTGAACCCACAACACTCGGCGTAATAGGAAGCGGCGTGGCGACCGCTTAAACCGTAGTGGTTTAAGCCATCCGTGCAGTCACAAAAGTAGAGAATTTTTAACGCTCTCAAGCTTAACTAGCTCTATAAAGCTCTTTTTACCTTGTCCGTGTCGGTCTCCTCCTTTCCCGAGCTTATTCCGCCAGATAACTCTAAACTCCCTTACAACTGTCTTTAACACTACCTTATCCTTGACACATAATTTACTACTAATGCAGAGGGCTCCAGAGCTTTCGAATTTAGCAGTTCTATTACGGAATTTTATTTATTTATTTATTGAACTTAATGCACTAGTTGTACACAGGCGGACTTAATGCCCAAGGCATTCTCTGCCAATCGACCATCGGGTGATGTAGAAAAATGATGCTGTAGGTGCAAGATAAAACAGAGAATTTGACTTGTTTATATTAAACTTATTAATTTAGGATAAATCAAACTTACATATATACACTATATACTATAAATACTATATTCAAGTATCAAGGTCTCAAGTATACACATAAAGTTGGTACACACTTTTAGCCTTTTTGACGACCGAATGGCGTAGTGGTTTGTGTAACGGACTGCTATTCCAAAGGTCGCGGGTTCGATTCCCGCTCAAGTCAAACATTTGTGTGCGTGAACATTTAATGTTTGATTTGGTCTGGGTGTTTCTATGTATAATAAGTATGTATTTACAAAAAAAGTATATATGTATTTATATCAGTTGTCTAGTACCCATAGTACAAGCTCTGCTTAGTTTGGGACTAGATGGCGTTGTGTGAATGTGGTACAATATTATTATTATTATTATATCGACCACAAAATGTTTCGAAACTATTCTGATTTACCTTCTATATCAGACACTAACTGTACCCATCCACGCTTCGCTGTGGCTCATTGTGGTTGCAAGAAATAGATAAAAACCATCTTTGAAACGTGTTTTATTTCATGTCAAAATTTGAGATCAATCGATGAAGAAATTAAGTTTTTAAAGCGTACACCATCCGACTTAATAATTTCATACAAATAGATATATACATATTTATAGATTAATATTAAAAATCATTAAAACACGTTTTTTATGCCCTCTAGCAGCAATTAATTTAAAAAAAAGCCATTAATATTTTTTTGTCAACAGTTTTGGCGACGGAACTACCAGTGTATACCGAACGTACAGCCTTGATCCCTGTAGGCGACAAAGTAATACATAAAGTGTGAAGTAGCGTGACGTACCAATGGCTGATAGAAATTACGAATACGATCCGGTCGAGACCGGAGTGGTTTCAGTCAACCAGCAACACTACAGAATGGAGGAGGGACAATTGTGGCGACAATATATCATCGCTGGCATCGGTACGTCTTCACTTTTAAATTAATTTTTTTTTTTTTTACATCTTTGCGTTTTAAGTGTTTAAAAAAATAAGTGATTTATACTGAGCTGCCAGTGTCTTCGTTTCATGCGAAATTTTGAAATAAAAAAGGGCGGGAAATAAAAAGAAATGTGTTTGTTGTTTGTCTATGAAGTTTTTTTTTTCGTCTTATCTTATTGGTAAGTGTTTTGTTTTTTTTGCCAACGTTTGATAGTTTTAAAATTTTAAAGTTACTTTTAGACCATATTAAACCAAATGTCTTATTGTGAATTATAATTAACATTGAAATGTTCAAAAATCGAAGTAATTAATTGTGTTTTTATTAAGTTTGTAGTACTGGTGTTATCATAATCCTCTACAGCTCTATAGTAATTATCCATAATATCTATATTATTATAGGTTTAAAAAAAAACTAATCTTAATTATTCAGCTTTACAACTATCATAATTAATGTACGTCTTTCTAGATTTATGCGATGGTATTAATCGAAAAATATGTTGGTATCATCAAGGTCATCAGGGTGGCCCTGAACCTACTAAACGGTCATGGACCAGGTTTTCAACCCAACTAACTTTGAGCACCAATTAAGCCTTACCGGTATATTTATAATACATTTAAAGAATACTCTAATACTTTTCCTGTAAAAACCATTGACTCGACTTAAATCACGAACGAGGTAGTCTATGCACTTAATAAGAAATAAAAGTTACCTTCACGTAGTCTTTTTCGAGAATTTTCCTCAATCGCGGTTCGAAACAATTGTACAAATCAAGGTACATTGACTACTCTACTCACTCGAGGAAGGCTTCCTTATATAATAACAATTGTTTTAAATATTCTTAATCATAGACGATATCAGTCTTTGGCCGTATACGTACACTTAGTGCCTAAAAAGAGCGAAACATAATATAACCCTTGTCTACGTATGAGCACAGTTTTAGAACTGCTCTCTTTTAAAATTCTACGATATTTTACAACTAATAATTATTGAGATATAAACATTATAACAATTAGCAATAAAACCTGATATTTCATTCATTTGATAAATTACCTGCTTATCAACTTCAACTTTATTTGTATTCAAGAACTCTTTTTCAATATGTACCTCTTTCACTTTTTTGGGCACTGGGTCAAAGACGGATCTCGAAAAAAATAAACACACACACTACTCCACATACAAACTACATTATTGCTATATTTGAGATGCACTGTATTAGGTATATTAATACAGATTGTTTACTCTTGCTGTGTATGTGCCTTCAATTAATTGTGTACTTCGTAATTGGCGTATTGTTCGACTATCATTATGTAAAATATAGACTGTCAGCTGTGGAGAACCTAAGTATTAAAAAATATATAAAATATAAACGTATTTTATGTTTTAAACTCAGAACTCCGTGATTTATGAACCGATTTGGCAATTATTTTTATACTTATTAGAAATTATAAAAGAATACAGTTTATTCCAATTCATTGAAGACGGTGATTTATTTTAAAACGTTAATTATTGTCATCGAAACAGCTGTATAAATGTTTTTTAAACAAATTCATTAACAAGGTCTTTGTCCTCATATGTCCGCTTCAGGTCACACATTGTATTTCTTTTTATACATATTATAGTCCACACAATAACGTGTAAATTTTAATGTGGGAGACCCATCCTTTAGCGCAAATGGGTAGGCTCGATCAGAGTGATACCACGGCCTCACAGAACACCGATATTAACCCATTCTTTGAGTTTGAGTGAGTGAGGTAGGGATGGTAAAAAGTACAATCACATATAATAAATCAAATGATTTATTAAGCATATCCTCACATCTGTGACAGATTTCTGACTTTCTGACTTCTGACGCAAGACTCGCAAAACGTCTTAATCTAAAAAAAAGTCGTAGTCTTCGATAAAATTATTTTTTATTGATTTTAATGCCGTTTATCTTTGTCTATGATGACATCACGATCACATGTGAAATCGCTGTGACTAAAACCAATCATTTCATCAAATTAATATGCATAAGGGGAGAGTTCTTACAGTCAGTTGTAAAAACCCCATTAATCTTACATATAGGTATATTCTGTTTATCTATATTATGACGTCAATTATTCAACTCATCCAAGTTAAATGCACGGAAAATAAATGTCATTATTTATAACTCCTAGGGCTTCAAACTACAATACGTATTAAATTGTGTGGGAAAAACTTGCTAAGGCGTTGAAACGATAACAAATGTAGTATTTTATTATTGTAACGTTTATAATAAGTGTCAGTGCTCTGCTAGTAGAAGAAAAATGAAGAGAAGGAAAACTTGACACAAACCCTTTTTTTTTTTTTTTTAACGTGTGGAAATCCCCTCGGACCGTCACCCCTCCGGGGTTTGCGGCGGGGTGGTGTGTCGGACTCGGACCGACTAAAACCACACGGTGTGCCACTCTGCGCCTGTAACAGGAGGGATCCGGGAACAGCTGTTGTTAAGACATCCGGACCCCTCCTAGCGCCAGCCCGCTCCTGGTGCGGGCTCCGTCTCAATGTGGATGTTCCTCTCTTTAGGCGACGTCCGGCACACGCGGACGCCGCCCCCTCGCGGCTGGCCAACTAATGCGGGTGGAGGGGAAACCCACCCCGTCCACCCGCGGCCACACTCAGGGCGGCATGAGGCTGTGGTAGGCGGGCCTCCGCCGCCCGGTTCGCCGGCGGCGGATCGGGTCCGAGTGGAGGTCGTCCTCCCGGGCCCTTTCCGCCGCCTCCTTCCGCGAGATTACTACCTCGCAGAAGGTTGCGACCGCGGTAAAACAACTGTCGCTACCGGCCATGGAGCGTACTACGGCCGGTAGCGAGAGATCCACTCCGATGACTGCAGTGAGGGCCCGGCGCTGCGCCGCCCATGCGGGGCAGACCGCCAGCGTGTGCTGGGCCGAGTCCTCACTGCAGTCGCAGTGGTGGCAGGCGGGACTCAGTTCCCTCCTAGCGACCGTGTGCAGGTACTTTCCGAAGCAACCGTGCCCGGAAAGCACCTGCGTCAGTCGGAAGGAAAGGGTCCCGTGCTGCCGCCCTGCCCACTCGGCGATGACCGGCTGGAGAGCCTCCACGGCGGCGAAGCCAGCGCGTGGAGTCTCCAGCCGGAACGACCAACGAGCCATCGTGGCTTCGCGCCACTCGCGCACATCCTCGGGCGGAGGGCGAAATCCGCTCTCCGCCCGGTAGTCAGCCACTCGCCGATAAACTTCGGCGAGCACTTCCGCCTCCAAATCCCACGGGGGAGTTCCGGCCAACGCGCACGCCACCTCCGTCGAAACGGTGCGGTAACCGCGTATGGCTCTGACCGCCATTACCCTCTGAGGGCGCCAGAGGCGTACCCTATTCTGGGCGGTCAGAGCCGCCGCCCACACCGGTGCACCGTACAGTGCCATTGACCGGACAACCCCCGTGTACAGCCGTCTTGTCGCGACGCTGGGTCCACCCATATTGGGCAAGAGTCGCCCTAGGGCAGACGCAGCGCCGACCAGCTTTGGAGCAAGCTGTCGGAAGTGCTCGTCGAAGAGCCACCTCCCGTCGAGGATCAGGCCCAGATATTTCATCTGGGCCCGAACCGGTACGAGGACCGAGTTGACCACTATTGAGGCGCCAGGGGGTGGACCACGACGGGGCCCATGGAATAACAGGGCCTCCGTCTTATCGAGGGCCACCCGTAAGCCCAGCGCCTCAATGCGCCCGACCACCAGGGAGACTCCCCCTGTGGCCAGGCGCGCCGCCTCTTGGAAGTTTGCCCCCCGGGCTGTCACGAGGGTATCGTCTGCGTAACAGATTACACCCAGCCCGGGGGGGAAATCGGCGCGAAGGGCCCAGTCGTACCCTATGTTCCACAAGAGGGGTCCAAGAACAGACCCCTGTGGAACACCGCACGACATGGGCCGACACCTCAGGTTACCTTCTCGGTCCTCGTACACGACGGTACGCTCCTCTAAATAGTCTGCCACCAGCCGCCTCAGGTACTTTGGCACCCCATGATAGTGGAGTGCTTCCCTGATGCAGCTGAATGGCAGACTATTGAATGCGTTGGCGATGTCTAATGACACCGCCAACAGCACGCCGCCACAGCTCACGGCCTCTTCGGTCACGGCCCTCAGGCGCAACACGGCGTCGACTGTCGAACGCCCCGCCCGAAAACCAAATTGGGCGTCCGACAGATCGGGGCCCACCTCGCAGAGGTGCCGGACGATGCGGGCAGAAAGAACCCTCTCAAACAATTTGCCCGCCTCGTCCAGCAGCACGATGGGCCTATAGGCCGCGACCGAATCGGCAGGCCGTCCCGGCTTCCTCAATAGGACCAGCTTCCCGCTCTTCCAGCACTCAGGGAAGCGTCCCGACGCCAAGCTAGCGTCGAACACCTCCCCGAGGCGGTCTGCCATGTGGTTGAGGGCCAGGGCCAGCACTCGGGCCGGTACCCCGTCTGGCCCAGGGGCGGTGTTCTTGGAACGGATCCGTAGAACAGCCGCCCCTACCTCCGAATCCCGGACGGGCGGAACATTGTCCTCCCCGTGCTCCCCGTCGTCTCCGGCCAGGGAGGCCATCGACGGGGGAGTGTGTTCCGCTCGTTGTGGGAAAAGGCCCTCAACCACTTCTCGCAGGAAGCTGGGCTGGAGAGTCTCCGTAAGGGGGGGGCCCGACGCGCGGAGCTTTTGTCGCACCGCGCGGTAAGGGCGACCCCAGGGGTCACGATTAAGACCCTCCAGCATCTCCTGTCTCTTTTCCTCTTTGGCGCGGCTAATGGCCAGCTTCAGAGTTTTCCGAGCCCGTCGGTACTCCTCATGAAGCCGGTCCTCCTCACCGTCTCCACGGTGACGCCGCCGACTGCGCGTGTAGGACCTCCGGGCACGTGTACAGGCCGCACGGAGGTCCGCCAGCTCCTGGGACCACCAGTAGACCTCCTTCCTTGGAGGCCGACGACCTCGAACGCGGGGCATGGCCGCATCGCATACATGCGTAAT